CTAATGCTTTTTGAAATTACATTGGCTCAGACTTATTAGGAATATAAATTATCAAGCACTTCGCAGTTCTTTGCATCTCAAAATCATGGCTATAATTTCTTTGACCATTTTTAAATGGATGAAATTTCATGTTCTATGTTGTCAGAGTATAATTTAATAAAGTCAATTTACTTTTCTGGTATTTTGTCTATTTTTCCTACTAATTGCTAATCAATACACATAGAATCACCTCATAAATGTGCCTTCAAACGGTCTTATTCATCGTCCCCCACCTCTGTTCCTGCTTGCAGACTGTTTGTGACACAGTAATATGTTACAGTGATGAGAGTGTTCATCATTGTGTTGTGCATTATTGTAGCAATTAACTTGAAAATTGACTTTTGCCCTGTAATCCAGCTTTCAGTGGGTCAAAACTTGGTAGGTATACATTTTCTACTTCAAAAATATTAAAAAATATTTTACACTTTGGACTACACTACTCCTTTTTTTCTTCTTGCATGAAATGACCTTCATGCTCCAAATAATACAAAATACGAAGTTGTCACCCAGCTCGCTGAAAAATAAAATCCAAATTAGGAAAGAAATCTTAGCACACAGTGACCCTGGTTCTCATTGCTTTCTAAATAATCCTTAACCTTATTTCAATAATCATTTCAGGCCCATTTTATTTTTCAGATAAAAAACCTTCATGACTACCCTGACCCAATGTTTTCCAGTTGTGGTTTTCCATAACATGACTGGTGTTCATTCCACCACCCATCTGTCAGTTTATTATACTGTGGTGACTTGTGTGTTGCTACAATTGTGAAAGCTATGCTACCAGTATTTCACTTACCAGCAGGGTCACTCATGGTGGACAGGTTTCAGCGGAGCTTCCAGACTAAGACAGACTAGAAAGAAAGGGCTGGTGACCTATTTCTGAAAATTAGCCAAGGAAAACCTTATAAAACAGAACAGAATGTTGTCTGATAGAATGCTAGCAGGTAAGTGTCCTGTGTTGGAAGGCACTCAGAATACACAGTGGCCACTACAGTGGATTTGAGCAAACCAACTATTGTGAAGATGATGCAAGACCAGGCAATGTTTTGTGCATGGGGTTGCCATGAGTCGAAGGCAACTCTATAGCAGCTAACGGCATCAACTGGTGCTCAGCCTATACTGCTGGTATTGCTAGTCATCAATTCCCCTCGTTGGAGCCTTGAGAGTGAGGGCATGTTCTTAAGTTTTTGGGACCTCTTATGTTGCTTGTTCTGTTCCTTGTATACAGTACCCATAATGGCTGCTTTGCTGATTATCCATGTTGCGTCTCTTTCTGCCTTTCTCACAAAGTGCTTGCTTGGAGTCAATGCCCTCTATGTGTGGGAAGAGAAGACAACAGCAGGTGAGATGAGCTCAGGGTTACTAACTCTGGGAAGTCCAAGGATAGACACTGATAGAAACCCCAGCCTAGGGCTGGGAATTCTGAAGACAAAATTCTAACCTCATCTCCACTTCTTGAATGGATAATTGGTTTTAAGGAAGTTATTTAATCTCTCTAAAGATCAATTGTCTTGCATGAAAATTGACAACAACTATTTCACTGGCCTATTGTGGATACTAACAAAGTGGTCAAACATACAATGCTCAAAAATTGCACTGTGGAATGAAGAAAGGCAGGCAAGACTCTTGGTTACTAAAATTACCCATAACATAATTCAAAAATATCAGTATATTCATTCATTCTTTCCTTCATTTATTCAGTATTAACTAAATGTCTACTATATACGAGGCATGTGCTAGGTGCTAGGAACATACTGGTCAAGAAGCAAGGCCTGAGAGGGAGTTATGGGAGAAAGTGAAGAAGGGGAAGCACAATTAATTCACCCTCATTCTGGTAAATCAGAAAATTTGATGCATTTATTTAATAATGAAACAAAATGCTACTTAAAAAAAAAAAAAGATTCCAAAAACCTAAAGGTGACAGCCAAGAATTTAAAATAAAATTTAAAATAAATACTAAAGGAAGCGAAAGCAAATAAATTATACTCTATCTAAAGAGGAAAATAAAAAATAAAAAAGCTAAGGAAACAAGGAATCTCAATGGTTTAAATTTCCCTATGAGCTTCCCAAATGGATTTTTTTTAACTACTACTTTATATTGTTTATAAAAGCTACATTTATAAGAGAAAGAGTCAAAAGAGTAAAATTTTAATGGATGGCCACAGATTAATCAGGCAGAAAAAACAATAAGAAAGCAGATACAGTAACAATAATTTCAGAAAAATAGAATCCAAGACAACAAGCATTAATGGCAACAAAGAAGACCTTTTTAAAATGGCAATATAATGATCAACAATAAAGATATAAAATAAGAACCTCAAAGTATATAAAACAAAATATAATAACAAAAAGAAAATTTATAAAACAACACAGTTTTTGTCTGAGAAAATTCAAGAAGTCCGAATATAAATAAGGACATACTAATTTTGAGTAACATAGTATATGTTTAATTATAAACTGTATGTAAAAACCTGTACCCTGCAAATAGAGGGTACAAATACTTTCTGAAGCATCCATTGAAAATTAATGAAAGTATGGTATAAACTAGGCCAGAAAGAAAACTTCAAAATTTCCAAAAAGTAAAAACTGAACAGGTCATTTACTCTAACTACTGCTTTGGCAACAGATTCAGTGTCATCTATAGTCCTACAAACTCTGATAAATAAAAAGTTACTAGCCATAATACATAAAGACCTTCATCTGTAAGAACTAACACAGAAAAATACAAAAAAAATAATTTTTATATGGACAAAGAACATGTACAGGAAATCCATAAAGAAGAAAACTCCAATTTCTGTATATATATTTTAAAACATTTAATCTCACTTGTCATAAAAAAAAATAAAACAAAAATAAGGTATCATTTTTCATAATAAAACTGGCAATTTTTAAAAAATGACAATACTTAATGTTGGTTAGAATGCAGTGATACAGGTGTTTCTCCAGTAGTTTCATCTTATTTCATTTCTCTGAGACATTTTTTCCTGGAAACACTCTTCTCTTGATGTACTCTGATTTTCCTCCTGTCTTTTGGCTAATACATTTCAGTCACCTCTGCTGACTCTGGATTATGGAAGGAGCTACTCCTTGCTCCATTTTTCCTACTCTCCTTCCCTTTGCCCATCCAGCCCATCACTACTCCTAGTGGAATTCCAGCTTGTTTTACTCTTATCTGGGACACTAGCGGACTCAGTTAACACTTCAGTAAGAAGGGGAACAGAAGTGGGCAGGGCTTAAATGTCCAAGTGGAATTTAAAGAGCAGCGTGAAGAGTAAGAACTCATCCCCAGTGAATATGGAAATTCAAGACAGCTCAAGTTGGAAATACTTGGTTTTTGTTTTGTATTTTTATAGAAAAGATTTACATATCCTTACAGACTATAATGGCACTTTTTTTTTTTTTAAATAAGGGGGGCACTAAAAGAGTGTGTGGTTCGCACAAATGGTTAAGTGTTTGGCTACTGGCTGAAAGGCTGGAGGTTCCAACCCACACAGAGGCACTTTGGAAGGCAGGTCTAGCGATCTGCTTCTGAGAGGTCACAGCCCTGAACACTCTATCGAGCAGTTCTACTCCACGCACATGGGGTTGCCATGGCTCAGAATCGACTTGATGGCAACTGACAGCAACAACAACAGCAAAGGCAGATATGCTATAGGCTTAGAAATACAAAGACATAGTTCCTACCCTTAAGAAATTCACAGTCTTGCAGTTGAGATAGCTAACATGGTTAACATTTATTTAGTGTTACTATGTGTTAGGGACTGTTGTAAGTTCTTTACATGTATTAACTCATTTAAAACTTACAAGAACTTTGAAATGAACTTAATGAGTCAATTGCTTCATCTATAAAATAGACATGGGCATAAAGACAGATATCTAAATTTTGTGTTATTGAGATTTTTCTAACTAAAAGCTATTAGGGAAAAATTGACTTCCCAAACTAAGCTTTTAGGGAAGGTCCTTTTCCTGTTTTACAGGCATGAAAAATAATATAAGAGCTAGGAATCAAACTACCCCAGTTTTCTTAGTGTAGTTTTCCTTTGGATTAATTTTTTAACTTACCTATGTTTTAATTTCCTCACCTGTAAAAATGGGTGTGGCCTTAGTAATTACCTCATTGGTTGTAGAGAAGATGAAATGAGATGATATGTAATAAAATATTTAGCTCACTAAATCTTGCTATGGAGCCGCAGTGGTGCAGTGGCTAAGAGCTACAGCTACTAAGCAAAAGGTCAGCAGTTCAAATCCACCAGCTGCTCCTTGGAAATCCTATGGGGGCAGTTCTATTCTGTCTTATAGGGTCACTACAAGTTGGAATCGACTCAATGGCAACCGGTTTTAAAGGATGCTATGCTTTGGGAAAGAAAAGACAAAGACTTATATCATTTAATTCTGGTTTTTGTACTAAAGTAAACGTGAATTCTTACTGAGAAATGAGAAATCTTGACTTCTCCTTTCAACCAAAGTCATAAAGATACAGGACTTTTCCAAGGGTCTTATGGCAAGATGGGGGAAAAGCCTCATGGGCATGTATCCCAATAAAGAAAGAGACCTTCACCTGTGGGTTACTCCAATAACCTTTCTCTAATGGGCTGGAAGGAGCCCTGGTGGCACACTGGGTAAGCCCTCTACTGTTAACCAAAAGGTTGGAAGTTTGAACCCACTCAGCGGCTCCACAGGAGAAAGACCTATGATATGTTTCCAGAAATACTACAGCCTAGGAAACCCTATGGGGCAGTTCTACTCTGTCCTGCAGGGTTGTTATGCGTCTATCCACTCGACAGCACCCAACAACAATAACAGCAATGGAAAAGGAAGCACCAATCTTCTTACAGAGTAAAATCTTCTGAAACTTCTAGACTAGAAAGACAATGGGTGCTTTGCTACATTTAAAACAAATAAGTCTAAGGGATTCTGGATGTGGCTGGGCAGCAAAAAGACTTAACTAAATATACGTTTACCTGGCAAGGTTGGAACACTCTCTTGAGGAAGCTTCAGAACGTCGCAGGTAAGTTTTGGGGAGATTTGAGAGTTCCTGGGCCATCACACACTGGGTATAATCATCCTGCCATGTGAAACCTGTGGCAAAAAGTTGCAAAAACTGTGTTAGCAATTTTGGAAGTTTAGCCAAAGCTCTTACTTCAGTCTCGTAAGTAATCGTCACCCCTTTGGAAATACGTTTTCCATTCGAGTCGGTGATTGCTGTGGTTGTTGTTAGTTGTCACTGGGTCAGTGCTGACTCATGCTTGGTCTTGCACCATCTCCATGATCACGGGTGTGCTTGAGTCTATCGTTGCTGTCACTGTGTATTCTGAGTGCCTTCCAACCTAGGGGGCTCATCCTTTAGCACTGTATCAGACAATATTCTGTTGTGATCTTTAGGGTTTTCACTGGCTAATTTTGGGAAGTAAGTTGTCAGGCCTTTCCTCTTAATCTGTCTTGGTCTGGAAGCTCTGCTGAAACCCGTCCACCATAGTGGCCCTGCTGGTACTTGAAATATTGGTAGCATAGTGCCCATTATCGCAGCAACCACAGTACAACAAACTGATGGGCGCGTGGTGGAAGCTGGTGATACCATTAACCGAACCAAGGCTCTCTCTTACTACAGTTTTTCAATCACATTGTCTCCTTATAGAAATTCCAGCTTCTGAAACTTCTAGACCAGAAGGACGACTGATGCTTTGTTACATTAAAAAATAAAGAAAGAAAAGGCTTAATGGATGCTGGTTAGGGCTGAACAGCAAGGAGACTTAAATTAAATATACATTTTATTTAGACGAGATATTTTTGGTCATTATGAAAGATGAAAAGTTTCTAAATGGAAAGGTTATGTCATGGGAAGGATACTCTTCACCCACAACATGAACATTTTTACCCTCTCTTCACCCACTACTCTGCCTGCTTGCCATAGCTTGAGCAATTTGTTCTTCCTAACCCCTTCTTGCTTAACAGTCAAGCTTTGGAACGGAATAAGGGGTATTGTTACTGTGAAAGCAATTATCATGGGGCTTAATGTACTGTATCTGGGAACCAATTACATTATATTTATACTCAAATGTTATGACAAAGAGCTTTGTAAGAAGAGTGAAGTAGTTATGAAGGCAAAATCCATGTGATTAGGCATTAATTACATGCACTGCAGATCACATGATAATTATGCTCAGAATTACCAAATAACTCCCAAGAATAATTATTATGCAATTTGTACATTTTAGATCTTATGGTAACACTTTAGCTCTTAGAAATACCCATGCAATTATCCATAATTATCTAATCATTAAATATCATGTAATTACAGAGATATATTTTTATGCCCTGTACAAAAACACATTACCAAAATCTTCAAATCAGGACAGCTCTGTGCTTGTTTCTCTGTGTGTGTGTGTGTGTGTGTGTGTGTGTGTGTGTGTGTGAGTGTGTGTGCTAGCAAGAAGTCCAAACCTTGCTAAGAATCAATATTCTGCAAGGAATTAAAAGAAAAGCTTGGTAGATACAAACTGCCTTCATGAACATGTTTAAAACTGTGCTTCAAATGCAAATCTAACATTTTAAAAAAATTACAGGTGGCAAGATTCAAATGGTTTGCACATTTCTGAATCTAAGAAGACTTAATGGCATTGCCCAAAGTGGAAGTTGATGGGAAAATTCACTAAATAGCATGACCTCCTATGGCAAAATGTTCTAAGAAGCTTTGTTTGGAACATAGCTTTTGGAGAATGGGTCGCTACAGGTAGACAGTCATGGCACCACAGTCACTATTTTCCTTATTTTAGGATTAAATGTACTTAATAGTAAGCCCATCTATTCAATTTGCCAAAAGCAACTAATGAAAAAAACCTGTATATAAAATGCATGTTTATATGATTATTATTGGTCCATTATAAAGAGTACGCCAAATTGAAAGCACTTTTGCAATGTTAGCATAATATCTAGTATTGTGAATTTAGAAAATAAGTATACTTTAACTATTCCATTCCTAAAAAGATGGCTTAATGTTAATATTTATCAGGCAACAGAGTAAATCAAGAGCACACACACACACACACACACACACACAAACTTACTATGGTAAAAAAAACCTTTTTAAATATAAATTCAACAATATTTTTTATCTCAACGAGTGCAAAAGTCTGAGCTATGTCAATGGTGGGGTTTGTAAGAAGGGTTCAGTCCTTCCAGAATAATCATTGGCCAGTTAATATGGTTTAGTTTGTTATGGGCAGTCTTAGGATAACCCTGTATCCCCCCTGCACTGCCCCAGCCCAGACTTCTAAGCTTTCTTGGGAGGAGGCTGGAACTATGCCCTTGGATATAAAAGTAAACACTAGCACAGTCACAGAGGGTTTAAACATTCCCTCTGAACTTCTCTCCAAGGCATATCTTGGAGGAAATAAAGTCTGAAGAAGAGAGGATCAGCTTTCAGAGGGATAGCGTATATGTATTTTTCCCCATTCTTCCCACCAAATACTACTAAAAACCCTGGACAATATATATAAAGCAAACATAAGAAGATTCTGAACGGTGAAGAGAAGAAGGCAGAAAGGCTAGGGAACTTGGGAATCAATGAATGACCTGATGGTGAGTTTCCTGTGTTTTCTTTTTGCCCCACATATCTCGGACTTGGAGCCAAACAAGCTAGCAATGCATAAATGCCATCAGGTGCAGAAAATGAAAAGCATCAACAAAAGCCTGCACTTTCTAGCTAAAGGGCCAGGAAAAGAGTGACCTAGCAGGGTAGAAAATTTTTAGGCAATAACCGTTTTACTCCAGCCAAACAGCACAGAAAAAAGTACTTCTCCACTTACACTCAGGCCAACAAAAGCCAAGTTAGGAGACTAGAACTGTACCATCATGCATCAGTAATGAGGCGACACAATCAAGGTGTTGTGAGAGAAGGCCAAGTCGAAATTCAGGACTTTCTTACCCACTGGCCAGTAACAAGACTCCCCACCTTGGCATCAGCTGAAGCTCTCACCCATGACCAACAGTAATGAGGAGACCCTCAGGTGTCAACAGAGCCCAAGTAGGGAACCTGAACTTCTATATCCACCCATCAGTAACAGGAGGTACCCCCCTCTATCTTTTGCAGAGTGGTGTCAGAAAAAGCCACTAACACTAGAAGGTTTAAATACAATCCAGAGTCTCATAATATAATACAAAGATATCTAGATTTCCACTGAAAATCACTCATAATATCAAGAACCAGGAAGATCTCAAACTGAATGAAAAAAGAAAAAAAGATAATCAATAGAAACCAGCAATGAGATGAAAGAGATATTAGAATTATCTGGCAAATACTTTAAAGCAGCAATGGTAAAAATACTTCAATCAGCAATTATGAGCACACTTGGAAAAAATAAAAAGTAGGAAGCCTCAGCAAAGAAATAGAAAGTGTCAGCAAATAAATGGAAGATATAAAGAAGAACCAAATGAAAATATTATAACTGAAAAATGCAATAGTAATAACTAAAAATAAAAGCTCAGTGTATGTACTCAATAGCAGGGGACAGAGGAAAGAATCAGTGAACTGGAAGACAGAACAATAAAAATGATTTAAATCATCTAAAAGAAAATAGTTCAAAAGAAAAATGAACAGAGCATCAGAGAGCATGGATGAAAACAAAGACCTAACATTCATGTCAAGAGTGCCAGAAGGAGAGCAGAAAGAAGGCACAGCTGAAAAAGTACTAGCAGAAATAATGGCTGAAACCTACCAAAATTTGTCAACAGACATAAACCTACAAATTCAAGAAGCCTAACACACCTCAAAAAGGATAAAACCAAAGAAATTCCCTGCAAAACACATCATAGTTAAATATCTGAAAACTAAAGACAAAGAAAAATCTTGAAAGTAGGCAGAGAAAAATGATGTCTTACCTATACGGGAAAATAATTTCAATGACAAAGGATTTCTCATCAGAAACCACGGAGGCCACAAGGAAGTGGCATAATATTTTTCAAGTGCCGAAAGAAAAGGACTATCAGTCAAGAATCTTGTGAATCTATCAATTTACATACCCACTGAAAATACCCTTCAGGAGTGAAAGGGAAATCAAGACATTCTCAGATAAAGAAAAAATGAAAGAATTTGTCACTAGCAGACCTACCCTAAAAGGATTGCTAAATAAGTTTCTCTAAATACAAAGGAAATAAAAACAGAAGAAACCTTGGAACATCAGGAAGGAAGAAGGAACACAGTAAGCCAAAATATAAATAAACGCAATAGTCTTTCCTTCTCTTGAGTTTTATAAATTATGTCTGATAGTTAAAACAAACAGTATAACACAGTCTGATGTGCTTCTAAATTATGTAGGGAAAATATGAACACAATTACAACTGTTGGGAGGGTAAAGTTTCTATACTTGAACTGGTAAAATGATAACACCAGTAAATTGCAACAAGTTATGTATATATAATATAATACCTAGTTGTTGTTGTTAGGTGCTTTCGAGTCAGCTCTGACTCACAGTGACCATATGTACAACAAAACAAAACACTGCCTGGTCCTGCGCCATCCTCACAATCTTGTTATGTTTGAGCCCATCATTGCATTAACTCTGTCAATCCATCTCATTAAGGGTCTTCCTCTTTCACTGACTCCCCACATTACCAAGCATGACGTCCTTTTCCAGGGACTAGTCCCTCATGATACCATGTCCAAAGTATGTGAGATGAAGTTTTGTCATTCATGCTTCTAAGGAGTATTCTGGCTGTTTCTTCCACATCTGCCTTCTGCATGAGCCCAGAAGAACTAGATGGTGCCCGACTACCACCACCGACTGCTCTGACAGGGATCACAATAGAGGGTCTCAGACAGAGTGGGAGAAAAATGTAGAACAAAATTCAAATTCACAAAGAAAGACCAGACTTAGTGGTCTGATAGAGACTAGAGGAACCTCTGAGACTATGGCCCCCAAACACCCACCTAACTCAGAACTGAAGCCACTTTCAAAGTCCACCTTTCAGTAGAAGATTGGACAGGCCTATAAAACAAACAATAACACATGTGATGAACATGCTTCTTAGTTCAATGAAGTATTCAAGACCAAATGGGCAACACCAGCAAAGGCGAGAGGGCA